CTGGCAGACAGCGCCTGTCTGACTAGGCTGTTCCATTTACCGTAGACATGCCAGATACAAAATGCCTGAACAAAAAAAGTGTCTAAGCGAACAATGCGACCAATCAGTGCATATTTTGTACAGTGCAACTGAAATGATGAATATAACCTTGCCGCTGCAGAATGCGGAAATTAAGCCTAGAAATCGTAATGATTCCGCAGCATAAGGAATGGTTGGAGACCCTGCATTAGACATAATTACAAACCAAAAGTTCATCATCTCATCACCAAAAACTCCAAACATATGTGTGGAATTTTTTGTTTAGGAATTTGAATAAAATTTTAACCCTTTTTTAGGAATTGCATACATTTTGCATAATTTTTTTTAGGAATTTTAGGGCTAGCTCAAAATTTTAGGAATTTTTAGAAATCTTAGGGCTGCTGGAAAGCCTGTGTGTAAGTATACGAAGTTTGGTCATGCTAGGTCAATTAGGGGCCGAGTTATAGAGCGGAAGAAAAATATGATAAAGGTCAAGGTCAAGGTCAATGTCAAATAAAGGTTGCAGTGACCTGGTTTCGGTACGTGACACACCTTCTCCCCAAGATGTGTAAGTATACCAAGTTTGGTCGCGCTAGGTCAATTAGGGGCCGAGTTATAGAGCAGAAGGGAAATATGATCAAGGTCAAGGTCAAGGTTAAATAAAAGCCGCAGTGACCTGGTTTTGGTACGCGACACACATTCTCCCGAAGATGTGTAAGTATACCAAGTTTGGTAGCGCTAGGTCAATTAGTGGCCGAGTTAGAGAGCGGAAGGGAAATATGATCAAGGTTAAGGTAAAGGTCAAATAAAGGTCGCAGTGACCTGGTTTTTGTACGCTGCTCACCTTTTCCCCAAGATGTGTAAGTATGCCAAGTTTGGTAGTGCTGGGTCAATTAGGGGCCGAGTTAGAGAGCGGAAGGAAAATATGATCAAGGTCAAGGTAAAGGTCAAATAAAGGTCGCAGTGACCTGGTTTTGGTACGCTGCTCACCTTCTCCCCAAGATGTGTAAGTATACCAAGTTTGGTAGCGCTAGGTCAATTAGGGATATTAGGGAGTTATAGAGCGGAAGGGGAATTCTCTGCGGCGGACCGAGCGGCGGCGGCGGCTGGGAAGACATGAAACCATAGTATCCCCGCCGACTTCGTCGTGGGGAATACAATTACCTATTGCAAATATAGCACTGAATTTTGAATTAGACAGGTTTACTTTTAATATTTATAATGAGAGTATTCTCACCATACAACAGGAAACAGAATAGCGCCACAACAGAGCAGGTCAACTAATATGAACACCTCCTTCCACGTGTCATACTGTTGCTGACCCTCTTCTGTTTCCTCCAGAATGATCTGTGCAATGTTTGCTAGTACCTATCAATGAAGAACACGAGACCATGAACAATATGCTAATTTAACAAACAACCATCTAAACATGGCAGTACACGGTTACAAGAAATATTGTTAATCAATGAAACTGAAATTTAATAATCTATGTATCTGCAAGGTAGTGCAATGTATGTAAACATAAAACTACTTAGGAAACTCATATGCATTTTCACACTTCATTAATAATGAGAGACTAAAGCACAACGTGTTCTCAATGTCATTAAACAATGTCAGAATTAATTACAGACTAGTGTCATCACCTGCAGTGGAATAATAATCATGAACAGCTTCTTATCTCTGTCCGACAGGATCGGTTTCACAAATGCCCAGCCAGTACCAATCAGTACAATTGTAATGAACAGTAGTGACCCCTTTAGTCTGTAAACAAAAATTAATGATATTATGTAATCTCATACTCCACTAATACCCAATAAATATTAATGTAGTTACAAGTAATGATACCTTTTAGGCCAATGTGAAAGTAGCAAGGAAACAAGAATGACATTGTATGATATAGTACATGTCATAAAGGCTATGTTTGTACAACAGTGCATACAAATGTGTTATGTAGAAGAGCACGGCCCAGGCCTCAATGTGGAATCCATCCCTGGCAATGTAGTGGTAGTTGAACGCGTGGAACATCAATGATAGCGACTTGCAGTAGGCAAGGGCCAGCATCAAGTAATGAATCTTGAATACCTCATCCCTATAACATGGAAAGTGAAACGTCACCTGTTTAGCGCTAGTTACCATGCCTACACATCATATGATATAGCTGTCTGCACTTATAGATATAATTTCTATTGCCCTCTTACACACACAAGAAACTGCATTATTAATAATATAACAACTGTTTTTGATTAAAGCTATTTGTTCTCTACTGTTCATTAAAAAAATGTCTGTGTAATAAACGTTATATACCTGTTTTTTCTGAGTAGTACGAGCCATGTGGATGCTATAGCAAAGAATAGAATAGACATGCCAAAATAGAGGGTAGGTAGTGCCATCTCCCCAGCAGAAAGGTAGTTACCATCACTGTTTCTTTCTTCCACATATACCTAGATGTAAATAGTCATAACAGCTTAACATTAGAAAATAATGATTGCAATAAAGTACAAAGCTCATGATAGTATATAATGTTCAGATTAACATAACAGCATGGCTATTTAATAGTAGGGACACGTTGTACTTATAGTGGTTGCAGTTCTGCTACCCATAATAAATTAATATCTGTCCTAGTTTGGAATGAGCTAGAGTTCAATCATGAACCTCAATGCTTTTGCAAAAAGGGCATTCTTCTTGATACTTCTAACTTAACAAATGCACCCTAAAAATTAAATTTACCAAGCGTAAAGTGGGGATTTCTCAAGGTTTTCCAACCGTTTTCATATTTTCTCGACCATTCTGATACTTACCGGTTGCTTAACACCAAGTGCATATAGTAAGGCTAAACATGTCGTGCAGAATGCTCGCACATCAATCTTTTCAGTAATATACATGTGCATTTCAAATCAGATTTGTTTACATATGTCAACAAAACTAGCGCGTGATTTTCGCTCTCGCGAGATGCCATCGACCGGTACTGTCTCACTCTTATCTTACCTTCGTCTACATTTTGAGATAGGTACCAGTCTATAACAATTTGCATCACGTAACTATGTGCACTTGTTTTGTGTGACCATTTTATAATCCTATTCTCATGAATCTCAAGATAGCAGGTGCACATTTGCTGTTTATTTACTAGCCTACAAAAGCACAAACTTGTAATAATTTTTATGATAACGTAATCAGTAAGATGAACGCTGACAGGGGAGACTAAATTTGTCTACATTTATTTATTTATCAATTTATTCAAGAAATGATTGTTTTAACATTAACTTGATCTAGTACAATAAACACAAACTTACAGATAGGTTGACAAAGGTAAAGTGCAGAGGTTCGGCATTTGCTGGACACCTGTGGAAGTATAAGTTGTACAGACCTTCCTCATTGTCCTTGTTTATGGCTATAAAGAACTGCAAAAGAACACACAGATATGTGTACTGTGTAGCACAGTGGATATGGAACAACTTGCATAGTAATTACGTCTGTCATATGGGGAAAACGTGCTTGTACAAACGAGAAAACTTTACCTCGACGCCGTATGAGCCATCAGCATTGTCACTGATAATAACATAATCTGTTTCCCGAACCAGCTCAAGCTTTGTTGCAAGATGCCCAACTTTTCCAGTACTTCCTTTGCCAACTATGTCATCTATTGACTGGGCTGGCACTGCAGCCACTCCAACTGTTGACTGAGAAGAAATGTTTGATGGTGTAGTCACTGCTTGGTCAGATGAGGCACTGCCTAGCAGATCAGCGAGCGCGCGACTAGAGACAGGTTGCTTATCATCAGCAGGTGGCTTATGCTTGAAGGGTTTGTCAAACACAGTCTTACTTCCAAGTAGTGGTTTCTCATCATCTGAAACAATCAAGTTGTTATTATTAAAGTACTTACTGCTACTGCTTTTGGCGAAAATGAGATGTATACTTTACTGCCTCTTACCTCTATTAATACATATATATAGCAATACTCATGTGACATTGAATCTCATAGGAAGGGCAACACAGGAACATCATATATTATACCTGACTGCAAGTGGCTTATTTTTATTTTATCATAACAATTTGCCTTTGTGAAAGTAGGTAGACTTTTACATTTCATTAACATGATCTGTGTAATGGAATTTACCTGAGTCATTAGAAGGAAAGATTCTTTTGCTATCACGCTTTCTCCGGCTACTGTTGGTGTTGTTGACGCTAATGCTCTGGCTACTGCTTTTATCACCACCTATACCATTCCTACTACTACTGCTTTTGCCACTACCACTGACACCATTTCCAGTACCATTTATGCTGCTGCTACTACTACTACTGCTGCTGGTGCTGCTACTACTACTGCTGCTGCTACTGCTGCTGCTGCTGCTGCTGCTGCTGCTGCTGCTGCTACCACTACTGCTGCTGCTGCTACTGCTGCTGCCAGGGCTACACCCATTAATTTGGCAATCTGTATAATGCTCGTAGTTTCTGTACACTGTTGTCTCAGTAAAATCTCCTGTTTTGTCTGTTTCTAACCTGGAAAATTAAACAACAGATACTCACATATATTGACAGTTCTTGGTTCAGTAGTAAATAATTTTTAAATGAAACTCACATTACAAATGTGTACCACCTATTGTGTACCACCTATATTGTATATATTGCAAATCAACTAGACCATCACATAAACAATACACATATATATATATATATATATAGAATGACTAACCGATGCTTTGCCAAGTCCAACTCTAAGAATATAACTGACACTGATGCATCAGTAACAGTCTTTTGGTCAAAGACACATTTTTCAGGATGATTCTCTAATCCTGGTGTGATTCCACCACTGACAGTCTTGTCCAGTGTGAATCCAAATCGCTCAGGGGCATGTTTGCGGTGGGGCTGAAAGCTGAATGCTGTTACATTTACATACAGATATCCGCCCTTATAGAATCCAAACGTGCTCAATGGAATCTGATATCGATCTTCTCCCTAAAATTGCAATAAGAAGTTTACCATTAATAACACATAAATTACATATCATCACAATATAAAAACTACACTTGTAATGGTGAATGTTATTGCATTCTATCATTATGTGATTGCAATGCGAGCTGAAAACTGAATATAGTTACATAGTGCCAGGATACCTACAACCCTAGCCAATAACAAACCTAATAGTAATATCTGGAAGAATAAAAGAATAATAAATGGGAAGAATGAAAGAAGAAAAATAAATTGCAGCTTGCATTGGGAAATTCCATTGGGCTCCACAAAATATATCATATCTATCGTATGCGTGTGTGCGTACATGCATGTGAGCATCCACGTGTTTTGGGTAAATATTATGTATATTATATATGCTTCTGAGTGCTATTCTATTATCATGACCTTGTTTTGTAATAATTTTCCATAATGTTATATGTTAGTTAATCAACGTTGTATATTTAGATTATTCCCTCTTTCTTAATCAGCATTAGGGAATTCCTTCCACATCCTTGCAAGTTTCTTGATAGTGATACAGTCAATTCTGCCTATTGGGTTATTGAGTCGCCGATTCTACTTCAATAATTGTCACAGCTGCTGCACTGAAGTGAATGCATAAGTTACAAGCAATTTGCACATCATTCTGTATTATAATGAATTATTTCTCTCTATCTTGCTCTCGTGCTCTTTCTTTCTCTCTCTCACCTGCTCTCTCTCTCTCTTTCTCTCATACACACATACACATGCACATACATGCACACGTCCGCACGCACACAAACACACACACACATGCGTAAACACGCTTATTGCAGAGCAAAGAGCTACACGTATGGGTAGAATTGTTCCATCCCAGACTTGATATAGTATTGCTGATAAATAATGGATGATGAACCACTACTATTCCATCATGTAGCACTATATGTTCTATGTTGTAGGTTCATGTTGATTACGACGCCTTGCTGCAACCAACATGAAACTGACATCTAAAGGTCAAGACCCACAGCAGCGACAACGACCGTAATGTTTAACATTTTAGAACATTAAAAACTATTATGTCTAATGAGCTGTTGAACATCCACGTGCCCAAATCTGGCGACAACCTTTAAAACAACAAAAATATTTCAAATAGTTTCTAACTTAAAATTAATAGTTCCAATGACATAGTCGCACGATGCCACATAAATACCCAATAACAGATGTAGATGTTTCATTGGCAGTGATTTCGTAATGAATCTAGGCTGCCTTGGTATTTCACTGTTTGAAGACTGCAGTACCTGATTTTGGCAACAGTTAATGAGTACAGGGATATTATTTTAACAATATCTGGGGTATTCATTGTGTAAGATTACCCAGCTAAAAGAAAACATTTGGCTATTCTTAGCACAGGAGATCTAAATCAATGTCAAGCCCACATATTGACATAAGATTCAACAGTCGCAGTTTACAAACTTAAAAATCTAAACAAAATTTCTAGCACTGTGTAACGAGAAAGGAGACGAACTTTGACCTAACACAGTCGTTATCGCCTGCATTGTCGTTGGGGCCAGTCAGTGATTAACGTTGAAATGTTACAGCTGGCCATTATCGCTGCAAATTATCTTGACCTTAAAGTGATTACGTCACCGTAAATAGTAAAAATAAAAAAAATATTTCCACTTTTTCACAAAATATAAGTTATTCTGTTCACTTTTTATGGTTAAATTCCTGCATTATACTTCCTGTTTTACTATATTGTTCGATGTGAACATACACTCGTGACTCATACATGTATAGCCCATAGCAAGCAATTAATGTTGGGAACATTAATATCAAATCGTCCAGGTTTTTTGGATTTTTAACTAGTTGAGAAACAATCTTATCAGGTAAGAATTTGACGATGCGTTTAGTCCCATTAGTTCTTACTTTTAATGTAAAAAAATGGTAAAATTCTTTTTACAAATTTTACCATAGAAAATTCGTGACGTAGTCAATTTAAGGATACTGTTAGCCTGTTAGGGTTGGGAGCTGATCTTCGGTCGAAATTTCAATACCCACTTTATTTGATAGATCGTACCCGGCCATGGGCAGCTTTATATATATATATGTAGAAATTATGTATGTAGCCTCCCAAACAGTTCCAAATCCCCGCATTAGTCAATTCTTAACACAGGCGTTCAATCATGGGATGATGGGAAATATAGTAAAGTGCTAATATCTCCATTGTTAGAAATGCTGAAGTTGCCAATTTTTCAAACGCTATTTCTCGAAACTCACAACTCCGATTCTAAAATTGTTTGTTACGTTTCAATGCTAATATAGCAAAGGAAAAAAACGCCCCCTGGAATTTTTTTAAATATTATATTTTATAAGTTATGGCTCTTTGTTTACGAAATTATTGCGTTTTGAAAATCACTACAAATTTTCGTACATCTTTTCAACTTATTTCCGAAATTAAAGCATTTGACTCTTTTTTAGTTCATATTATGAACAACTTATGGTTAAAAGTTTAGGTCCTAACTCTGCTGTTTCTGAGAAATAAAAAAAAAGCATTTTTTTTGTATAAATTCACAATTTTTGCCATAGTGATGTATTTAAAATAAGTGCCGCAGAGCGACAGTGCTCACCTGACGACAGGTGTTCTGATGCTAAACTCACTGGCAAACGAATCAAGAGCACCCTCCCATCGCCGCGTTCGCTCTCCCTCGTTGTCTCTCTCATTCTTTCTCTTTCGCTCGCTCTTGCTCCTCTCTTCCCTTCGCGCTGTCTCTCTCTCTCGCCTTCGATCCATCTCTCTCCTCTCCCGTCGCCTCTTCTCTCATCCGCTCGGATCACACACTCTCTCTCTCTCTCTCTCTCTTGCTCTCTCTTCCCTTCACGCTCTCTCTCTCCCTCTCTCTCTCACTCACTCGAAACTCACTCTCCTCGTTGTCTCTCTCTTCTGTGTCTTTGCTTCTATCCCCTCTTTCTCTCTCTCTCTCTCTCTCTCTCTCTCTTCTCTCTCTCTCTCTCTCTCTCTCTCACTCTTTCTCGGCGCATCTTCTCTCTCTCTCTCTCCTCTCTCTCTCTCTCTCTCTCTCTGTCACTCTTTGCGCGCGCGCCTCCTCCTCGATCTCTCCTCTCTCTCTCTCTCTCTTCTCTCTCTCTCTCTCTCTCTCGCTCTCTTCTCTCTCTCTCTCTCTCTCTCTCTCTTCTCTCCTCTCTTCTCTCTCTCTAGCCGTGCGCGCTCTCTCTCTCTCAATCTCTCCCCTCGCTCTCGCATCTCATCCCATCTCTCTCGAATTTCTCTCTTTCTCGAGGCGTAGCGCTGCCGGACAGAGGCGTGCGACTGTTTGTCTATACAGGAGGTCTGATTGTCTATCAGTACGATTGTCTGATGGTTTTCCTAAGCCATAGCACAGGACCGTTTACGTGGAGCTAAGCAAGCGTAACGTTATTGCATATAACTTCACATAAATGTTTATACTATATGTTCATTCTGGGGGCACTCCGACAGCCCCATGTTTATACTATATGTTAACTCGATGTTCCAGCAGGCGGTCAGCGATGGTAGAAATTATGAAAAATTGCTCTAAAAAGCTGCTTGTCCGGCGGACAAGCTACCGACAGATCTACTTGTCCTGCCATGGAAATGGACAAGTACAGACAAACGGATAGCCCTTATTTCGAACACTGGATGGTATATTCAGGAACTTTCTCGAAGAAATGTTTCGTTGGGATCGTTATGGAAAGTTGCCACGAGATGGGCGCGTACGTTTGAGTGTCTTAAGATTAAAGATAAAAGCTCCCATCGAACGTATAGCAACAACTGATTTGCAAGACATAGATAGGTAAAGCCACTCATCTATTTACTACGCCAAGCCTACAGGCTGAAATAGAGAGCTGCCACCTGTAAACTAATTAACGCAGGCAAAAACTACACGCGTAACTACACCACCACATGCACTGGCAGTGGCACTGGCAGTGTCATAAAGTTACGCTGATAGGGTCTATGTCCCCCAGGGTACTGCCGGAACGTACCTGGGTACTCAGTCGGGTTACCGGAACGTTACCCTGGTAACCATGTGATATGCCGGACCGTACCTCGCTCTTATCCCTACCGTACCCTGACTGTCCCTGTTCCGCCCACTACTGATGTCCGCAAAATTTCTATCTTTATCTTTATCTTTATGGGATTATTCCTTATATTAAAATGGTTGGATTGGAGTAATGAAACTGGAAACAAGAAGAAATTTCAACCTGTATACACTGATGCCGCGCAATCCTTTGCAAATATTGCCCGCTATGACGGATAATGCGTTTTCCGTTTCGCAATATTTACGAGATTTCGCACGAGATTTTTGAAAGACTGACTCCAAGTGTTGTGTGTCGAACAGGACAATTTGTATGATTTATCTTAATGGCTTGGAACGTATAGACTCGCTTGGACACTTGTAGAAAAGGTGTCGACTCGGGTTGAAACGTAACATGTCAAGGTAGCGAATATTCTCGCCCGAAGGAACGACCCGGGACGACCGGAAAACAAGAAACGGAGCTAACAGCGCGGCCTGCGTTTCTTGCCGACAATGCGCTAGTGATTTTACGTACCATCGGCTGAAAGTCAGGGTACGGTTTTGAAGTGGCGACGGTACGGTCCGCGCAGCTATTTAGATATTACCAGCTGGACGTTCGGCTTATTACCGGACCGTTCCCAGGTGTACGGTTCCCGGAGACCCTGGGGGGACATAGACCTAGTCAGGATAAGGTTACTATGTAACCTACTGACAGTACAGAATGTCCATAGAAATTATAACGATTTAAGGAGCATAAACTTTCTTCAACCAAATTTAGCTTTTGAAATTTCACTGTCACATTGTAGCCTCATACATCCAGGCATGTATAGATTCTACTAGCAACCCCGGCAGTCAAATTCTTTCTAACAGTAAACAAATCCATGTTTAACCCTCCTCTTGAGGGTCAAAAGGTTATCCGACACTTACTCATCGCATGTCAGCAGAAAGTACATTTCATGGTCCTTTCAATAAAGCCAT